CTCTGCATCCTAATTACCCCTGCTGCAAAGCTGAGTGAGAACCCTCCTTTCTTATATTAAAAATGTCTTAAAATTACATGGGTAATGTGTGAATACATTCATGCTATGAAAGAATCAAACAATATAGAACTGTACTGACTACCTCCTTCACTAAGGCCCTATTTCCATCCCCTTCCCCTGAGGTAGCCACAGTTCTTGGTTTGGTGTGTGTCTTCAGTCCCCTGTCTATTCATCCACATCTATTTATGTGTAAGTACACATATGCAGGGCTGTTTGTGCATATATGGGCTTGTACTGTGCTTACTGTTCTACAACTTCTATTTTCTACTTTATAATATATCTTGGAGGTATTCACATCAGTCTATATGAAACCACCCAATTTCTTCTTTAATGGCTACAAAATATGCCAGAATATGCATGTACCATAATTTAGTTAAATATTTTCCTATTGTCTTGCCAGACATTTAGGTTTTATTCTAGGTTTTCAGTAATATAAACAATGCTGTAATAAATTTCCTTGGGCATAGATCTTTGTACAGATCCTGAGACAAGGTTGCAAGATTATGGGCAATGTGCAATTTTAAATTTCGGTGATTAGGCCTTTCCAGCATTGCAGTTCAAGCCTTGAATATGGCACCACCTGCCATTAAAGATGCCAACTTGAGGTTTTAGAGTCAGATGTGCTGAGCCAAGTTGCCAGTTCCATCTCCTCTTGTCCACATTATAGTCAAGGGAATATTCAATTAACTGCAATCAAAGTAACCAGAACCTCAATTAATCAGGCCACTGATAAGGAGAAAGAGGAAAGGGATAAGGTATCAGAGATTAGTGAGAGAAGAGGGAAGAAACTTCCAGGGGCTGTCCTGGGGTCAGTGTACATTCAGTCCAATGTCCTGTCCTTTCTACCTCTACATATTTAGCTCTGAACAATGAGGACTGATATCCATAATGATGACCTTGACATCTTATAAGATTCATCAAAGCAAGAATGCATGGTGTTCACTAGACAGGATTTCCTAGAGCAGGAACTATACAAATTCATTTTTGAAGGCTTCTTAACTACAGGGATTGAGACAAAATGTTTGCTGCTTAAATCTCAGTTAGCGAGAAAAGCACATTAACCAGGTCCCATGTCCCCACTTCCCCTAACTCTTTAGGACACTGACTGGGTAAAAGATACAGAAGAAATAAGGATTCTAAAAGTCACCAGTGATCTTCACCAAATCCAAGTCAATGGCCATTTCTCTTTAATTCTTGACTTTCCCTTTGGCCTCCTGGTGATGGAAAAATATTGGGTTATCTCTTACTTTTCTCCCTCTTGGCAGAATTTTCTTCATCTTCCCCTTGCTTACTTGTGGGCATCTCCTATATTCAGTTTTTAGCTCTTCTCTCCCTGTGCTATCTCTTGGAGAACACATTGGGTTTCATACCTCTCACTCCTAAATTTATATCTAAGTCGTGAATTCTCCCTGAGCCTGCAATCCCGTATTCCTAACTACTTACTGGATTTCTTCCCCTGGCTATCTCACCATCAAATCAAAACTATCTTATTTTCCTTAATATATAAAATGGCTTTATAAAAGAAAGCCAAATATCCATTTTTTAAAAAATAGGCAAAGACATAAATAGGCAACCCACATAATACGTTCATAATATACATATGCAGTTGAACAATGAAAAAATGTTCTCCCTCACTAATATTATACAATGCAAATTAAATGCCATGATGTTATTTTGCAATGATTCAATGATGCAAAATAGTTGAAAAGCCTATTAAACTTAGAGTTTATGGGTAAAGAGGCATTCTCACATATCAGTGGTGGAAATGTAAATTTGTACTATTCCCTGCTGAATGATGTGTCATTTTGTACCAAGGTCTTTAAAACATGTATATTATCTTTTCATCCAGCAGGCTTCAGTTCAAAGAATTTAACTTAAGGAAATAATCGGAGATACCCTCAAACCTATGAGAACAAGAAATATTGTTTGTAATGTTGAAAACTTGGAAACATGCTAAATGTCTAGCAGTGGAAGACTGGTTAAGAAAATATGGCAAATTCCTGCAATGAGATGCTATATAGCAAATAAAAATGTTTTAGAAGTATGTTTAATTATTTGAGAAAACATCAATACTATATTGACTGTCAGATTATTAAGTCTGGCTATGAAAAGAAATATACAGGATTATCTCTATTTGTAAAAAATATATATACAGACTGGTGGGGAATACATATGAACACTAACAGTGATGATCTTTGGAGAGCGATGTTATGGGTGATTTTTATTTTCTCCTTTATAATTTTCTGAATGTTCTAAAATTTCTATAGGGAATATTGATTACTTTGATAAAATTAAAAACGTAATAAGTGTAATTATTTTAGTAACAGATTATTTAAAACCAGACTTCTGGACATCTGCACTAAACAAGCTCCATTTCCTTCCTAGCTTCCTTCTGTCCATCCATGGTATTGTCAGTCCAAGTCCCCAGGCTTTGCTCCCTCAACCCCCTGCCCGTCACTCATCCCTTGAGTCTCATCCCTTCTCTTGGACATCTCTCATATTAGTTCGCTCCTTTTGGGTCCCAAGTCAGGTCAGTTCACTTCAACCAGCATTTATTGTCACAGTGTCTGGATGTCACTCTGCCGGCTCAACATTATTAGAGCCATCTCCTCATATGTCTCCCTGCCCCTAGTCTTTCTGGCCTCCAATCAAACAAACACCCTGAGGCTGGAATGATCTTTTATAAACACTATCTGTATCATGGCCCTTTCTGCTCAAAACACTCAAAATCGCCCCAAACCCCATTGCCTAGGGAATGAAGCCCATGCTCTTTTCTTCTTCTCTTTAGGGCTCTTTGCATCACTGTGCTAGGTAGGAGGTAATGAGAGGTTTCTGTTAAGTTTTGGCCATGAAGTAAATCTTCAGGGATAAGGTGTGGAGCTCTCCCCACTGCCCTCCACTTCTTCAGTTTGAAACTTCCTTTCCCCTTCGTTTTGGCTTTGGAGCACTTGCAGTTTCATGGTGCTGAATTTGGAGACCGGAAGAGGCAGTCAGGGGTGATAAAATATGGCCCAGGAAACCTCAACTCTGAGGCTGTCCCAATTTCCCGTGTCTGCTGCAGAGGAGGCTCCACCAAGAAAGCATTTTGGCTGTTAAGTTCCTGTCTCCCCTGTAGTGTTGAGGATCAAGAACCAACAGTGGGAACCTTTACCGCTTACTTAGTTTGCTTTCATAAAAAGAAGATGGGGCAAGGGGAAGGGGAAGCAGAAAGGGGTGAATGTAGAACAAAGCTGTGAATGATGTGAGCCCCTCATGAAACTCAGCTGTCTTCGGGGGGCCCTCTGGGGCACAGAACACACCAACTCTGACTGAATGATGGCAGATGGTCGTCTGTCAAGAATGCTCCGCTGGGAGTGTGTGGGGTGAGATGTGTGAGGGTAATGAACTTGCCAGATGGCAGTCACTGCCACTAGCCCTGTCGCTTGCTTTTGGAGCATTGGATGACACCGATGGGAGTGGGATCCCAAGCTATGTAATGGGGATAGCTAGCAACCAGTCCTGACAAGGTCGGCTGCCTCGAGGCTCCTCCTCCATCACAGCCCATCCCTTTTGGGGTGAAGACGTGCTCTTATTATGGACCTAGTCTAAAAGCAGGGCCAGTCCAACAGAAGAGCTGCCTACTAGTGCTGCCTGGGATGCTGGTGCCCCTGCAGGCCTCCTGGCATGGATCATGTCCTTTTTGGATTGCTCTTGGCATCTTTCTGGTTATGGAAAGCTTGGTGCAGCTCCACCCAACAGAAACTCTGACTCCTTACATAGCCCACCCATCCGTCTTGTCTAGCTTGGCTGTCTCCAGTTTCCCGTCTTCTCTCTTCTCACCTCCCTTCCCCCGTGGCTGTTGGCAGTTGGCACATTTCTTGAGTACATGCAGGCCCCTTTTATCCTTACCCCTGGCTCCTTGGAAGTCTGCCCCAGTTCGAGGCTCTCCTTGTTTTGTAAAACCATTAACGGTAAAAAGCTTTGGGCCTTGCAGAGGAAGCAAAGGCCCTCTGCTTTCCAGGTCTAGAAGTGCCTTGTCTGACCCCTGTGGAGTCAGGGGAATCAGAGTAAGCATGGAGGCAGCTCTCTTTATGTGTAGGAAGCCACGAGTGTTCCATGGCATTACTGGTCAGGTCGGGGGGCTTAAAGGATAACCTTACAGTGCAATATCAACAGCAGCTACTGTTGACCGAATGCTTACCGCTTGCTAGGCACTATGCTAGGTGCTTGGGGAACGTTATCCTATATAATCCTCACACTGACAATTCCTAGTTTCCAATTTTACAGAGGAGGCGCCTCTTGAGAGAAGTTAAGTAACTTGTTGGAGGTCACACAGCCAGAAGGTGGCGGAGATGGGGCTCTAATGCAGACCTGCCTGGTTTCAAAGCCTGTGCTTTTAACTTCCACACTGTGCTGCCTTCAGAGATCCCCAAAATGCCCTAGAGAGAGGATTCATTACTTTTTAAAGTCTTTTTTTAATATTTGCTGAACACTTGTGCATGTATTAAGCTTGTTACATGTATTAGTACATTTGACCAGTCACCCCAGGTATGCCGTATTATCTCATAGAACAGACATGGAAGGAAGCAGTGTCAGAGAGGTTACCCAGCTTGTAAGTGATGGAGGTGAGATTTGACCCCAAGTCTGTGAACCTCCAGTGCCAGCATTCACCTCCCTGACCCCGCTGTCCTGCCCCTGAGAAGCCCCCTTTGTAATTTGCTCTGTCTAGAAGTGTGACGTTCATTACTGAGCCTACAGGATGCCTATACCCCCCAAATCCATGATTTCCAAGCCGATGGGCCATTTTGTTTTGGAGCAGGGAGTAGCTGAGGGAAGAGATGACACAGTGGGCCTGGGCGGGTGTTACTTCCTAGCACAGAGAGCATTTGGATGGAGAAGTGAGACCCAGATTGCTTTTAAGCACATTTTCATTTTCTTCCCTCCCTCCCCTTCCAAATTAGGGTGAAGGTTGCCGAACTGTCCCCCTGGCTGGACATGTGGGGTTTGACAGCTTGCCTGACCAGCTGGTGAATAAGTCAGTCAGCCAGGGCTTCTGCTTCAACATCCTGTGCGTGGGTGAGTATTTCCATAGCAGGAAATTCTATTACAGAATATGGATCCTTAATGGCTGGATGTGGCTTTGCAGGTAATTAGGTTAAATAGTGTGCCATTCTGATCTAGTTGCAAGAGTGTTCTCCCCCTCTTCTTCTTTTATCCTTCTATTGGCTTTTGTAAACAGCGGGCTGTCATTACGTTTTCCCCTGGTCAGACCAGAATATGGGGCCATATCTTGGGGGAAACTGAGCTATGTGAGACCCATTGGAAATTTTGTAAGGGAACCAGCTAGCTCAGTTATTGCCGTCAAGTTCATTTTGACTACAGAAGGGAGGAGCTAGGGCAGAGTTGGAAGGGAGGTGATGGCTGAGGAAAGATGCCTGCCCACCAGCTGTGGGCAGTAGGTTAGGTCTGTCTTGTTTCCTCTGCAGCTTTGCTGTGCTTGGTACAGTTTGAGCTCAAGTGCAGGCACCACACAAGCTGTGTGCAAAGTTCTTTTATTCCCTTTACCTATATCTCTGTCTAGACCTTTAATCTCAGTGGTGGTCACAGCTCAAAGTGAGTTCAGTAATGTTTGTGAAATGAATAAATGAGTGAACCCCACGGGAGCCACTCATTATGCTTCTCAAATACTTTCTAACATTAGCTCTTTTGGTCCTTTCTGAGACTCTGGGAAGCATTTGTATCCTCATGAAACAGGTAGAGACCCAGAAACTTGGGGAGGTTAAGGATTTACCTAAGGCAACACAGGAAAAGTGGTAGAGCCATAACAAAGACCTAGACCTGGTTGACTCCTTGTCCCTCCCACTGCTTCTCTAACTGCTGCCAGCAACATGTCTTGAAGACACAGAAGCACTCTAGAAACCCTTTCACACCAATCAAACAAATATGGGGGACAACAGTTCCTTGATAGTCTTGAAGAATCTCTCCTTAGAGCCAAGTGTAGTAGTACATGTAGCTACTTGGGAGATTGAGGCAGGAGGATCGGTTGAGCCCAGGAGTTCAAGGTCAGCCTGGGCAACATGGCAAGGCCCTGTCTCTAACAAGAAAGAAAAAAAAAAAAAAGAATCTCTCCTTAGACCTTAAAAATCCCAAATTTGCAAACACAATCTTAACATATAATTTTCACCTACAGTGCAGGAAAGCATATTTTCAATGACCTCCTTCTGAACCTTAATTATATAAATACCATAATAAAGTCAGTTTTCACATTGGCTGGAATACTCAAAAACAAACACTTCTTCTAAATTGCCTTTTCTTATTTTTGTATAGAATGTATGAGGACCTTATTCACATTGTAGATCCGAACCACCTCTAAAGTTGATATTTTACTCTTTAATGTATTCAAAAAGTCTGTTATCTCGCTAAGGGCATTCATTTTCTGGAGCTCTTTTTTTTCCTCCTCCTCCAATCCCAGCACTTTTTTCCAGGTCGTTTTCTGTAGGAGAATCACTGCTTGCTCAAGGACAAATAGAGAACAATGGATGACAGGCAGTCAACTCACTCACATGCATTAGCCTTGGAACCTATGAGATGAAAATATGTGCTTCACAGAGTTATGCATCAGGGGCTTTAGAGTCCAGATCTAGGCTGTTAATTCTTCAAATGCTGAAAGTCTAACTTATGATTATGATTAGGTGCTATTAAGAAAGGAATACAAAAATGAATAGAAGTCATAGTGACCAACATTAAGAGCAAATGCCATCACATCCAGTATTACCACTACCAAATCTCTGTTGAACTAACAAGATCGCCAATCTTTGGCTGATGGCCAACTTACTTTGTGTAATATTTGATTACTTCAATATTTCAGCACAAACATATCAGATTCCCTTGGCATTCCTCCCAGAGCTCCATATGACCTGTACTGAATTGGAGGAGATGAGAAGAGAAATGACAGACTCACTCTCAGTGACCTTTCAACCACGTGCAATTGACTGAGCTAGTAAAGTTTTAGGAGGGAGGCCGTGTGAATCAGAATGGCTCTCTGAGGGCAGAAGTGTAGGGTAATTTGACACGTGGATCACAGGCTCCCCTAGGGCCCAGTGGAAGAGGCAGCCAAGCTCAAGGCAGAGTGAGTGAGAGAAATAGTAAACCCCTGTCCTCTAGTTCCCACCCAGACATTGTACAGCTACAACTACTTCAGTGTGCACCAGCTGGGATGGAATTGTTTAAGTGCCTGGGACAGATTCTCTAAGAAGGGAGAGGTAGGAAGAATATGCTCTCACCCCCAGGAATCATACTCTCTCTCCTCCCACTTGTCAAGTTTCAGGAAATGGCTGCCTCAGTAGCTCCCCTCTTAGACCTGCAGGTGCAACCATTGGATAAACCAGCCTAGACCGGGCTAATTCCATTCCCCATTCTTGATCCAAAAAATCCTGACCTCTTGCTTTGCTCACAATCCTGTCAGTATGCAAAGAAACCACAATTTGGACCAAGGTCACGAGCAGCTTAGAGTGGCTCTGAGGCAGCAATGTCAGCCCAGCCATGGGGCTGGGTCCAGTCACTGACCTGGCAAAGGATCCATAGATTCACTGCTAAAGGTGATCTTTTCTCTTGCAGGGCTTTCCATGGCCATACTTTCATGCCTACTGCCTGTGTGTAACTGTCAAGTTGACTGCCTTAATGACTACTATAAAAAGATTCTGTTTGGGCATAGAATATATTCCCCCAAAGTATTTTCTTTTCTTTTCTGAGACAGCATTTTTTGCTGTGAAATTATGATAGCATTGGCTTTGATTATTAACAGGGACCTAGAATATTTTCACATTGTTTTTGTTTGTTAGATTTTTGTTTTCTTAGAGACAGGGTATCTGGAGCCCAGGCTGGAGTGCAGTGGTGTGATCGTAGCTCACTGCAGCCTCAAACGTCTGGATTCAAGTGATCCTCCCACCTTAGCCTCTTGAGTAGCTGGGACTACAGGAACACATTTGGCTAATTTTTAAATATTTTTTGTAGAGGCAGGGTCTTGCTGTGTTGCCCAGGCTATTCTCAAACTCCTGGGCTCAATCCTCTTGCCTTGGCCTCCCAAAGTGCTGGGATGTAGGCATGAGCTAGCAACAGTAATGGCTGTGAGGAGCACAAAGGGTCATAATCATAATATTTACTTTGAAGCTGCTCAGGATTCCAGGCTCAATTAGGCTCTGTTGAACTTGGAATAAAAACATGCCAGAGAAGCAGATTGAGGTAAGCCTACAGGAGGAGGGGAAAGGGCAGCTAGCATTCTATTAAGGTCAGGGGCCAATTGTTTCATCCCTCTGTCTCTGGGAAAGGCAGCTGTTAACCTATCTAAGAGAAGGTTGCCAGCAGTGGTGTGCTGATCAACATCTAACAACCCATCTCAGGAAAAAGATTGCCATGATTTGGAGCATCTACTGATTTCTGTGGTGTCATTGCTACTACTGTAGCTGATTTTAAGCTACCAACGTGATGTCACTGCACGTGGGCTTGGGAAGAGATGCAGGAAGCGGACGAGCCAGCTCCAGCACATTACTGTCTGCCAGGCCTCTACAAGATCAGGAAGGAGAAAGTGCAAGGTCACAGAGCCAGGCATGACCTTGTCCCTTTCCATAGGCTCGCTTGGCTAACTGGAGTTCCTGGAGTGTTTCCTTTTGGACACCTCCCTGTTGAACTCAGAGACATTTCTCTTGGCTTATTCCAACATTCAGAGCCAACAGAGACCTTAGCTCCATGAGAACAGGGATTGTGGCTACCTTGTTCATTGTTGTATCCTCAGCCCCTATAACTGTGCCTGGTTCCTATTATAGGCTTTAGAAATACTTGTTGAGTGACTGAATGAACGTATTATACCTACAGGCCTTGCTTAGAGCACTTTGACCTGCCTGGATTCAAATGCTGGCTCTGCCACTTATTAGTTTGTGACCTTGGACCGGTTACTTACTCCACATTTTGTAGATGAGGAAAGTAAGGTGCAGAGAGGCTGAGGAATTGGTGCAAATTCACACGACTAATAAGTGGCTTGGTTAACCCATCTGCAAATTGAGGACAAAAGGTAGTATCTATCTCATAGGCTTGGTATTTTTTTATTATTTATTTATTTATTTTTGAGACAGAGTCTCACTTTGTTGCCCAGGCTAGAGTGAGTGCCATGGTGTCAGCCTAGCTCACAGCAACCTCAAACTCCTGGGCTCAAGCAATCCTCCTGCCTCAGCCTCCCAAGTAGCTGGGACTACAGGCATGCGCCACCATGCCCAGCTAGTTTTTTCTATATATATTAGCTGGCCAATTAATTTCTTTCTATTTATAGTAGAGACGGGGGTCTCACTCTTGCTCAGGTTGGTCTCGAACTCCTGAGCTCAAACGATCCGCCTGCCTGGGCCTCCCAGAGAGCTAGGATTACAGGCGTGCGCCACCGCACCTGGCCCTCATAGGCTTGTTGTAAGGAACACATAAGAACATATATGTAAAGAATTTACAGCAGTGTCTGGCACATAGTAAGTACTCCATAAACAATAGTTCTTATTATTATTACTTCAATCCTCATTTTAGGGAAAAAGAGGCTGGAACCCAGAGAGGGAAAAAGGCTTAGCTCAGGTCACACAGTAATTTAGTGCTAACTTGACTGGGAATCTTCATTTCATAACTTGCAAGGTTTTAATTGCACAAGATGGAGGGTGCAAATATTAACAGTGACTAAGGAAAATGGCTAAGCTTTTATTTTTTATTTTTAAATTTATTTTTTTAGAGACAAGGTTTCAGTCTGTTGCCCAGGCTGGAGTGTAGTAAGTAGCACAATCATAGCTCACTGCAACTTTGAACTCCTGGGCTCAAGCAATCCTCTCGCCTCAGCCTTCCAAGTAGCTAGGACTATAGGTATGCACCACCATGCCCAGCTAAGCTTTTCTTTATTATACAGGTTTGTAATGCATGGGGGTCGACATCGGACTATCCTAGGAAGTATAGTTTGAAAAAGCATATTTCATATTAAATGCTTTAAATTTAAAATTATTTTTTAAAAACTTGTTTCCAGAATACTATCTATATTGAGCAAAGTGAAATGAAATCCTCTTGGCTGGTGGAGCATGCTTTAAAAGGGCTCAGAAACCCTATTGTCCACTATGAGCAGCTCTGGGAAGGCTGGAGAGGAGGAGAGAGAAATTGACCCCTTGGGACTCCTCAGGTTTCCTGCTGGAATCTAATTGCCAAGTCCCCACCTTCCTGCAGGGGTGTGGAATCTGCTGACCTGATCCCAGTTAGGCCACGTGTATCTCCCCGCCTAATTCAATACTGAGCCCAGGGCAGCCGTGGGAGGGGACAGCATCCTAGGCTCAGGCTGGGTCTGTGCCAGCCATTGAGAGAAAGCCTCCCCCACCCCCAGGCTCCGCGCTGATGGAAAACTGGAACTGGAACGAGAGCACTCCATAGCCACAGGACGAGCTTGCTTGCTTTTCTGCCCTCTTCTAATACTGCATTTATCTCGATTCCCTAGATACCTGCAAGTTCTTTTCTTCCAGACATTCATTATTTGGCATCTAATTTCCACAGCCCTTTTGTGCTGGCAGGCATTTGGGTGGTCATTTTTCGTGCCGTTCCTCCCTGCTGCATGCCCTGCCCTGCCCTGCCCTGCCCTGCCCTGCCCAGCCTGGCCCCCATTTCTCCAGCTGTGCAAACAGGGTGGGTCCCTCACTCTACAGTGCCGCTCCTGAGGCGTTCTGTGAGAAACCTTGGGCTAAGGCACCCTTGGGAGTTCAGGAAGATGCTGCCCAGCCCCTGCTCTCTGAGAATTCTTAGGATCAGGGAGCTGGGGAGCCCACTCTGGGTGCTGGGGAGACAGGGCTCACCACTCTCTAGGAAGTGCGGGGCATTCAGCAGGGAGCTCACAGAAGAGGAGTGGGGTTGGGGGTGTACATGGAATATTCATTAGGCACATACAAAGTTAGGTATCTCTAACCTGGGTGCCCAGAGGGGGGTGGTCAGTTGGGGCGAGGGACCCACCCTGTATTCCCACCTCAGAGGTGCTGGCCCCGTTTGCAGTTGGGCTGCACCCCACCTTGGATAGGATGGAGGGGGGCTTATACATTCTGCTGCTCAGCCAAGTCTGTCACCTCCCACAGGCAAAGGCTTCACCTCATCACATTTTTCCTTAGACCCAAATACTTCCTGTTCCTTTAGGGGAGGAAAAAAGGGGCCTCTTCTTGGAGAGTCTTTGTTGCTAATGGGTATAGCAGACCCTGGCTGGAAACATGATCTATGTGAGGAACCATTTCCTCCGCACCCTGACAATCTATCGAGTTAGTCAGACCTGGCTATGAAATTGAGCTGGAGGGCTGGGTAGCCAGGCTGAATTGAATGTTCTCCTTGTTCGTTCTCTCTCTTTCTCTCTCTCTCTCTCTCTCTCTCTCTCTCTCTCTCTCTCTCTCTCTCTCTCTCTCTCTCTCCCTCCCTCCCTCTCTCCTCTACACTCACTCTCCTCCTCTCTCCCTCGCCCCTCCTCCTCCTATTTTCTCCTCTCACCGAGAGCGCTCATTACTCTGGATAAAAAAGGTGTGGAAGATCCAAAGCTGGACACACCCAGAGGGTGGAGGGGAGATGGAACATTTTCGGTTTCGCATCATGCAGCTCTAACCCTAGCCTTGGACCGCAGATGTGTGCTGTTGGTCCCCAGGGCAGGATTTGTCCAGTGCAAACCCACTCCCGACTGTGAAGAGAAGTCAAAGCTCACATCCCCCAGGTTGGAGGGAGGGAAAGAAGAAGAGGTATGAAGATAGCAGAATAGCAGGATAATCTATGAATATGTATTCAAAGGGCAATCCTGAGTGATTAAGTACTGACTCTTTTATTCCTGGTATTCTTGAGTCACTTGGTATAGGCTGAGGGCAGGCTAAATACAGTCTGGATTTGTGAAGATTATAAACGGTTTTAGTGTACAGCCTAGCTTGTAACCTCATATTAGATTCCTGCCTAACTCCCATGTCACCAACTTCCCTTCAACTCATGACTTCTTGTGTTGTCCCATTCCCTAAAGACTCCTTGGCTCCGGCAATGGCTGGATATCCCTTGGTGTCCCAGGAGTGAGCTCCCCAAACCTTCACCAGTCTGCGACAGCCTTTCCCCTACTCATCTCCCTAGTGTGAAATTCAAGACTTTTGAAATTCCAATGGTTTAATTTATTAGTATCCCTGTAGCCTGGTAGTTAAACAAACAAATGGCTGGTTTGTTTGAAATTTAAGGAGAAGAATAATTTGTAGCCTGCTAAGTTCCCTCCCTATTAGCTAAAAATGGTCTTGCTGCAAGCTGAACCAGGCTGGGAGGAAAAGCCAAGGGCCCACACAGTCTTGCACAGCCTCGCCTCTGGGACACACATCCACTGCATCCACACGGGGCTGCAGGGGGGAGAGGTGGGGACTGGGACAAGATGTTTGTTTGATAAGAGACTACTGTCCCTTTAAAAATTGTTTTTACAGCCTGAGCAAAAGTGAGAATGCAGCTCTACAAAAAATAGAAAAATTAGCCTGGTGTGGTGGCTCATTCCTGTAGCCCCAGCTACTCGGAAGGCTGAGGCAAGAGTATCGCTTGAGCCCAGGAATGTGAGGTTGCTATGAGCTATGATGATGCCATGGCACTATAGCCTGGACAACAGAATGAGACCGTGTCTCCAATAAACAAACAAACAAACAACGAAAAGCAAGTAACAGAAAAAAATGGAAGAAGGAAATGAAAACCACCCCAATTCTACTATCTGATATGACTACTGCTGATTTATTGATTGCAGTTCCTTTCTGTCTTTGCCATTTAACTGAGATCATGCAGTCTGTATACTTCTATATGCTTTTCACTTCGTGTTTTATCATGTACATTTTTCCCATGTGAATAAATGCACATCTGAGGCATGATATGTAAGTAAGTGCTGCACAGTCACCGTGTGAATGGGCCATAATTTATCCTTTTGGTTTTCAGGAGAGACTGGTTTGGGCAAGTCCACCCTCATGGACACCCTGTTCAACACAAAGTTTGAAGGGGAGCCAGCCACCCACACACAGCCAGGTGTCCAGCTTCGGTCCAATACCTATGACCTCCAAGAGAGCAATGTGGGGCTAAAGCTCACGATCGTTAGCACGGTGGGCTTTGGGGACCAGATCAACAAGGAGGACAGGTAAGGAAGGTGGTGTGGTGGGGAGGTTGGGAGGGCGCCCCAGGGAGAAGCTCACCACGGGGGTCTTGAAGAGAGAACAGGTGCTGAGCCCCAGCTTATCCTCCCAGCATGACATGAGCAGCACTGCCCCTGCCCAGGGTCCCTGTCTACAGCAACTGTTCCGCTCCACACACATGGCACCACACACATGGCAAAAAGAAGGGTGTCTTTCTAATATACTTGGGTGGGATCTCAATTCCATTCAACAGACATTTATTACGATCCTACCTTCTGCATGTACTGCTGAGCTCTGACAGTCTAGAAAGGACTAGGAATGCCCTTGAGGCATTCACGGGTGAGACAGGTTTTAAGCAAATAATTTCCGCAGAGTTAATACGTTCTGTAAAGGACAGGGTACAAAGAGGTAAAAGACAAGTTACAATGAGCACACAAAGGTGAAAACAGTCAGTTCCATGCGGGGAGGTCTCAGGAAAACCTTCACAGAGGATGTGCACCCTGAGCTGACGCTTGAAGGACAAATTATTTTTGCCAGACCGACAAGGGAAGGGAAAGGAGGGCATTCCAGGCAAAGGTAACTGCTTATAAAAAGGGGAAGTGATGTGGAGGGTTCTGGTATGTTCTAGGGAACTGGAGCTTGCTCTGTTTGGCTAGATGCTGTGAGGCTAATGAGCTTCAGGGCTCTCACTTGCACAGGCCCCGTCCAAGGCCCTGTAATGAATTTTTAGCCATAACATTGTATTATCTGTCGTAGAGGGTCCTTCACATTGTATAAGTGTAAGGCCTGGAGAAACCTGGATCTGCCCAAGGGCTAGCACTTGGAGCGAGGGGGTGGGGGGAAGTGGGGGAAAATGCCCCTGAACAGGTAAGTAGGAGCCAGATCATGGAGGGATTCATAGAATGTGCAGATATGGGAAGCACTGGAAGGTTTTAAGAAGTAGAATGATGTTGTCTGATTGGCCTTTGAGGAAGGCACTTTGGCATAGTCTGGAGACAGAAGAGCAAGAAGACCAATTAGGAGGTTATTGGGCCAACTGGATTGAGGCGAAGGGGTAAAATAGGTGCTGAGATAGGGAAGAGGAGACAAATTTGATAAATATTGGCCGGTTAAAAATCAACAGGACTTGGTAGAAACTTGGTGGGGAGTTTTGAAGGCAAAAGAAGAATCTAGAATGTGAGGCCCACATGTCTGGCTTTGGAGAGTGGACACGTGGTGGTGGCATTCCATAAGAGAGGTAATATAACAAAACCAACTTTTGAAATAATAAGCTCTGTTTTGGACACGTTGAGTTTGACCTGTCTGTGGAATATTGAGATACACAATGACCTTCAGCAGTAGGCAGTTGAACATACCGAGCTGGAGATCAGAAGAGGGTCTAGGCTGGAAATACAGAATTGGGTTATCAAGTTAGAGGGGATATGTTCCTACTGTGAACACGTATAAGATCACCCAGGGGTCAGAGCAGAGTGAGAAGAATGTTGGGCTAAAGACATCCTGAAAACAAACTGAACGGGGAAAAGCTGAGAGGTAGGAGAGGGCCAGGAGAGACTGGGGGGATCTGAGAATGTGTGTGAGTGAGGGCTAGAGTGAGGCTCAGAGATGAGGATGTGATGAGGGCTGGGGTCGGGTCGGGAATGGGTGAGGGTCAGGTACCATCTGCATTTAACCCAAAGTCGCATGGTTATTACACATGCTCATCTTAGAAAGGGCCATTCATCATTTTGAGCAAAGTGTCTGGTCATCCTTTTGAGGATTCTCTTGCTTCTTAGATGAACTGTATGTCAAATTCTTTAATTTTTTCCATAAAGCTACAACAGCCATCCATACTCATTTCCTTATAATGGATAAATATATGTAGCTTCTTAATAACTGAACTGAATTCTGTTTCCATCTGAAATTCTAGAAGAAGGACACCACTGCTTTTTATAGGCTTACTTATTGTGCTAATCATTTTTGGTTGAGAATAAATTAGACCCCGGGGAATGGGGATATTTGGGCCACAATATGAGTGCTTAATCTCAGCTGCAGGTTGCTCAGGAACTGCTCAATTCAGTTTCTCACAGTTCTTTCAGTTACATACATTTAACATATCTGACATTGGACAACACCTTGATAATGGTGGCTTGGGAGGACTGAACCGATACTGCCCCTTAGAGGCGAATCTACCTCTGTTATTATTCGAAAATATTCTTATTGTTTTTTCCCTGATTATAAACATGATACATAGTCATAAAAAATCAAGTAAGTAGAAATGACAAGCTTTCCCTGAAATTGGGCTGGGGAGCGGAGGTGTGGAGTAAGCTCCAGGGATCTGTAATAACAAGCAGTGTTTTCTACATGGTGTCAAGGCCATTTCAGCATAAATATGTCAGTGCAGCTGTAGTGAAACAGGGCATCAAAATGCCCTGCTTTACCAGGGCATGTGAATACACTAGGGAGAGCAGCGAATAAGGCCTGATCTGCAGAAAGTTACCAATTAAAGGGTGCTATAGAAAAAGGAACCCAAGGGAGAGACTTAGAAGAACAGGATGGAGAAGGAAGCGCTTAGGACCTTGGGCTTTGTTCTCAGACAGACCTGGTTCGAATCCCATGGTGCCATTTTTTAGGCTAGGGATCTTGGAGAAGAAACTTAAATTCTCTGTTAGGGTGGAAAGCCTAGCAGGTGCTCATAGTGCGGGTGGAGAAAGATTTCTCATGCAGAGATTAAGATATATAAAAGTAAAAACATTTATTTTATCCTCTTAGAGGAGAGAAAGAGAGTGTGAAAGAGAGGGGGTGACCAGGGAGACGCAGCATCCCAAAGAAAGAGAAGGGGGTGCCAGCAGTGAGGCCAAATGGCTTGCTGGTTTTATGGGAACAAAAAGAAAGAGAAAAAATTAATAATGATTGTCGAGGGTTGAACCAGAAGCAGCTGTGGAGTAATTAGCAGGCAGCTGCTGGATGTCAGGTTGTCCCAGCTTTCTTGCTTTTTTGTGTGTACCTGGAGACTTGGCTATCTCTGAAATGTAGTCAGGCTTATTGCAGGGGATGTGATTTTGGCCTGCGATATGATTTTGGGCAGGAAACTGAGGCCGGTAGTTTACTCCCCTGCTGTCCATTCTGGGGCGTCTCAGGAACACCTTGAGGCTATAAAACAAATTCTAAAGGCAGTTGCTGGTGAATGTAAAGAGAAAGATTTACATTTCCTTTTTATCTCTTGGGCTCCTTTCACATGTTTGTGAAAACAGAATCCCTGCAGGTCTCCTACCAGCTAAGGAGAGAAAGAGCAGAGAGTAGGCACAGCTCGAGATGATCTTTAGATGTTATTAGGAAATTGCTGGATTGGATATTTTTCTGTGATTTCAGCAAGTCTGCCCCTTTAATTATCTATGTCTCAGTTTTCTCACCTATAAAGTGATGATGGTGATAATCATACCTACCTTAGCGAGCAGTGGTGAAGCACATTTGACATGTACGTCATATGAAATGCTTAAACAATGCCTGGCACAGAGTGACTACCTAATAACAAACCAAATATATTATTATGATCATAATTTTTATTAATAGAAAAATGGAGGGAGAGTTGTATCATGTAGCATATGAGAGGGAATGACAAATGGTGTCTAGGAAGAGAAGAACCACAGGGTTTGGCGACATGAGTGTTATTAATACATTTAGGAATAATAATTTTAGAGGAATTGTAGCTAGACGCTAGAGTGCCATGATTGCTGAGAATAGGTGGTAAGGATATAAAGCCTTCAGACTAGTCAAAAGAGTAACAGGACAGAAAAGTGAATCCAAGAGTAGATCATGTTCTTATTGAAATTTAGCATATGTAAGTCAGCAGAGAAAGAATAGACTATTCAAGAAAGGATGCTGGGGAAAGAGGCAATCCATTTAGGAAGAAAATAAAATGAGACCTCCCACATAAACACCATTCACAAAAATAGATTCCCGTTGGACTAAAAACAAATTCTAAAAATATAAGGAGAAAATATCAGAGAATTTTTTTTATAACTTTGCAAGTAGAGAAGGCTTTTCTAATCATGACATAGAATTCAAAAGCCATAGAAGAAAAGATTAACAGATTTAAGTTTACTAAAATAAAAAACCTTGGTATATTGAAAGAGACCATAAATAAATGTAAAAACAAGCTACAGATGGGGAGAAGGTATTTGAAACCTATATTACAGACAAAGGATCCTTATAAAATGTAAAAAGAGAGCCTCAACAATTCCATGAGAAATAAACAATAATTGACAAAAGGGGGAATACAAATGGCCGATCAACATATGAAATGAATGCTCATTCAATTTCCCCAATAATTAGAGAAGTGCAAAATGAAACAATGACATATTTTTTATCCATCAGATTTGCAAAAAGTAAAAGATGATATACACACTAGGTAATTTCCATTCATGCTGGTGGGAATGTAAATTGATACACATTTTTTGGAGAGCAAATTTGGCAGTATCTATTAAAATTTAAAATGTGAATAATTTATGTATGACCCGGCAGTTCCACTTTTAAGTATACAGCCTGGAGAAACAATTGCACATGTTCATGAGAAGCATACAAAATGGATGTTCACTGCAGCATTGGTTATTGAATAAAAAAAAATTTGAACAGTCTAAATTTCCATCAATAGAGCAATTAAATAAACCACGGTACAACCATACCATGGAATTGTGTTTGGCAATTAAAAAAAATGAGGTAGATCAATATGTACTGACATGGATAGATCTCTAGGACATGTTATTAAGTGAAAAAAAAAGTTGTAGACTGATACACAGATCACAATGCCATTTGTGTAAATCTTCCCCTCTTGCCCCAATAAAATAACAAACATTTCTCTTTACTTATGTATGTAGTGCAGAGAAAAAGGTCTGGAAAGATAAACAACAGCCTGAAAGTAGCAGCTACTTCTGAGGAAGGGAAACTATGTATTGCTTGCATATCTAAAAATAAATTAAAAAGAATAAAGTTTTTCAAAAGGAAGCAGATAAAATGAGTATAGACTGCT